CAAGTAAAAGGGTCCCCACGGACCTCAACAATGTGACTGTCTTCATTCTAAAAACAATGTTCTGAATTTTATGAGCAGCTCAGAAACGAAGGCCTCATATTAATAAATACCTGTGCCTAACAACGTTTAGTGTTCGTCTGCATCAACGTCCTGCAGGGGGGACAAAAATCCACCATTCTAAAAATTCCCTTGGGTCAGCAGGTAATCTCTCCACAAACGACCCCTGGGCCACACTTTAAACATGCCTGTTTTAAAGTCTGATGCATAAAATAACAACCGGAACATTCTTATTTTTCCAAAAATGTATGTAATTGTTGGCTAATGTCAATAAAACAATTACAAAATGATTTATTAGTAATTACACAACATTAAAACAGTAATAACATAACATACTTGGCACTTAGATCCAGTGCTTTCATCGTCCACAAGGGGGCAGACGGCTTATTCCGTAAAGCAGAGGTTTGAGGAATGTACAGATCCTGTTAAAGAGGTGGAGGCTTAGGAAACTTTTACTTTGAAGGGATAATGCTTTTACTCTGATGTTATAACTAAAGCCCCTGATGTGTGTAAAGGAGTGATCCTGCCACGGTGAACATCACTGATGAGATGTCCAAAGGCTCCTTCGGAAGTCTGTGGAAAGGTGTTAGCCCACCTGAAAGCGCCAAGATGGAACCGAGCTCCAAAAGGTACGAGGAACCAGATCCTCCTCGTTTCGCATCTAAAGAGAACACCGGAGCTATGACGGAGCTTCACTGTTAGGAGATGTGTTTATTAGCTTGTGCCATCGCTAATTTCCCACTGAGTAGACTAACATAGTCTGTCTTGCTTGCTTCTCTCACTCCATCCCACCCCTGAAGCTCCCCCTCTTAACCTTCCAGAAGCTGAAACCCCAAAGGTAAGCCGTTCCCAGCGGTCCCTGTCTCTCATTCTGCGTGTTTACCGCCGCCCAGTGTTGCACAGTGTCGTCGGTCTGTGTTCACCGAGGTAGCACGGCATGGACTGGATGTGCATGTTAGCTCAGAGACCCAAACACGAGTTCTGCATGCAGCACAACATTCTGTTGCTTTATAAACAATAACCGTTAGTGTCCTGAATGGCCTCAGTCAGGAGAAATGGCTTTTATTTCCGGCTGCCAAAAACAAAATGCAATGCCGCCATCTTAAAACAACTAAAACCTTTCATAACAGTTAAATAACTTCATTTCTGTGCATTTTTTTATTATTTACCAGGAATTTTGTGGTTATTTGCAAGCATCTAGTTCCCCAACATCAACAAAATAAAGCATTGCTCCTGCACGCAGGTGTCAAGGCCAGAATGTCCTAATGTGGCTACGGAAATGTCAAAATTACCTGCAGAATAAAGTTATAATACTCACGGAAGCTTGATGCTGTAAGAGCAAAGATCAAAGATAAATAAAGTAGTATCTGGTAATGAGACATGACTCGTTGGAACGAGATTTATATCGTATCTTAAAGAGCAAGTCACCCCCTACCAGAGTCTTACTCCACTCCCACTTCCTATTTAAAAACTGCAACAAATGCTGTTGCCTAGCAGACCGAGAGGGCGGAGCCGCTAACAAATACACACACACACACACACAGGCTCACAACGACATTGTGACATCATATGGTACCAGCTAACATTCTAGGGTACCTCTTAGCTAATAGTGATGGCAGATTTAGGCCCTGTCCACACGTAGCCGGGGATCTGCCAAAACGTAGGTATTTTTCTACGTTTTGGCCTGTCATCCACACGAAAAATGAGTTTTTTCACACGAAAACGGATCTTTTTAAAAACTCCGGCCAAAGTGAAGATCTGCGTTTTCTCCGTTTTGGGTGTCTGCGTGTGGACGGACAAAACCGGAGTTTTAAGGTCCGCAACGTCACTTTCCGCGACAAAAAATGCTGACATCACGTGTGCGACCTGTGTTTACACTAGCCAGCATCATGGAAGTCTTCAGAGCTGCGCTCTGTCACTACCCGATCCATCAATTGTCCAAGCGCTTTCTGCTTGTTTGTTTTTGCAAGCGGAATTACTGCTCCTTGCGGAAGACCACAGACGAAGGATGAGGTTACGAACGGGGAAGTACTGTCGCCTACAGGTCTGGCATGTCCTTAACAACGTATTTATCCGGGTACGTGTGGACAGAGTTTTTTTTAAAAACGCGGTGGTGTGGATGCAAGTTTTTGGAGGGGCGGATATTCGTTTTTAAAAAACCCCGGCTACGTGTGGACTAGGCCTTAAATTCAAATGCAGGGCAGAGTTTTTACCTGACTACGGCACAACACTGACAGTTTTAGGCAGAAAATTTTAACTTTAACTAGAAATGCACTAAACTGTAAAACTATTGACTACACGTGTCTGCAGCACGATTAGACACACATTTATATAGTTTATCAGAAAAAATTGCTGATTTGAGGGTGACTTGCTCTTTCAGTAAAAATGTCGTTATAATGATAACATTGTTTTTAAAATTAGATACGATCTGTGCTTCTTGTCTTGAAAAGTGAATCCAAAAAATATGTGGACTAGCTGTCCTGCCACCTCTCTCCTCATAAAATTATAAAGTGTAGCCATAAAATAATCAAGTGAAACCATAAATATAAGCAATATGTATCATCAAGTTAACACCTGGAAACAATTATCTGAGTTTAATGAAATATTTGAGTAAAAAATTAATGAATTTTTTTATTTTCATCCATCCATTTTTGGATAGATAAAAATGAATAAACAAGAAGGGGCGGGGCTTAAACGTAGACTGCGGGCAGCCATTATGGGAGCTTTTTTGTTGCCTTTGTAGGGTTAATGAACTACATATCTAGGAATTGTGTGCAGACCTTAAGTCTCCTGTGAAGGACTATATTGCAGACGGGGGTAGTAGCCAGGGCAAGGTGACCCAGGCTGTGTATCCGACCTGTGAGTTTTAAAACCAGGCCATTACGTGACGTTACACCTTTAAATCCAAACATTTAGTTTGGCAGTTGTGTTTGAAGCGTCCTGGTGGACTAGATGGAAATGACCACAACATCCTGGTATATAAAAAATGGACTGCAGGGTAGAGGTTTAAATAACGACGTTTGCATGAAAACATTTAGGAGATTGGAGCTGTTTTAGGACAGTAGCCGCTCACTTAGGAAGTGGGTTGATTGGGAATAACTGGTCACTCTAAAAGGCGTCACTGGCATCTTGAGACGGCTCAAACCTTCTAAAGTTTCACACCAGTTTTCCCACGCCTGTTCGTGTGACGTTACATTGTTATAATGGTGGAAGCCTTGATAACTCCTTCCCTGACCAGATGCACCGGAAGTCCTTTGTTTGTAGTTTTCCCAGTTGTAAAAGTATAAAGCTAACCTCACACAGGCATAAAAGTTAATGAATAACGAAATATCACAATTTGTGTGAAAAGTTCAGAGGTCGGAGTGGTTTTACGACGGCTCTAACCCTCAGGAAACTATCAGTGGAGTTTAACTAAAAGGCTAAATTAACATAATTCTATAACTGCATGTAGCTGGCATGCCGCTGACCAGAAAATCTTTGATTGTTTATTTACTTTTGTTTCTGCTGACCTGGTCTTATTCCAGCGGCACCAGAGGAAGCGAGAAGCGACACAAGCGGCGGAGGCATGAGAAGAGTCTGGACAGGGAGACAAGTTTGTGATGAGGACGATTCCACTGTGCTGTCAGTCCGTAAATACAAAAACAGATGTACCGTGCCACACTCAATCACCTTGTACTGTGCTACACTGTGTTTTTTGTCATGTAAGTCCGTGTGCAAAGAAACATTTGTTAGAAACCATAATGAAAAAGAATAAAACAAGTTATTTCTACATAACTGTACCAGCAACAGATTGAAGCCAGAATGACGTGACTCCTTCAGTATTCGGTTAGGCAAATTACAGATTTTTAAATCTTTTTTCATTTGTATTTTGTATGTTTTTATATTTTACCTGCGAGTTGTCGTTTTAACAACCTTCCACCGTGAACGCCGTTCATGTGGAGCATTCAATGCTGCTGAATTTCGCACCTTAGGATTAAAAACTGATTAGACTTTTTTGCCAGTACTAATTAAACCCACTGGTACATTTAAGCGCTAACTGTTAAGAGAAACGAGTGATTTTCTGAAAGTAATAAATCTGCATTTTATATATAAAAATGTAAGTCTAAATGTCTTTGCGTCACTAAAGTGTTCCCATTGTTGCACATGAATGTTTCTCCTCAGTTTAACCTGAAAAATGTCCATTTTAGCTTTGTTACTGGTTAGCATGAAGCTAACGCTAGCAGGAAGCTAGCTTAGCTAAGCACAACAAGCAACAGGCTCTTAAAGAGAAAGCTAATTAGCACTTTATTTGTTTAATGTTATTCCAGAGATTCTAAAAGAAATTATGTGAGTTTGAACCAAATTTAACCCAAAATTAGCCTTGGCTGATGTTAGCTTCCAGTGAAGCGGTTTCTCCTAAAAGTAACAAAGTGAATGAGCATATTTTTAATTTATTTAGCAGTATTTTTCAGAGGCAGCTTCAGTGACAATTGCATGGCAGCATCATTTGGTAGTATTAGCAAGCTACCATTAGCTTCTTTTTGAAATGACGGAGAGGAAACCCCAACCTTTCTGGATGATTGTACAAACGGCTTAATGTTTCCCACCCGTGTGCTTCATCCATGGACGTGTGGTCTCCTCTCCCTTCACGTGTTAGCAACTGAAGCTAATTGTTTTTGTTTAAAAACGCTCCTGCATGATGGTGAAACCGTCTGGCTGCAGGACCACAGTTAGAGATGCAATAATTCCTTTGTCTTTTCTTTTTGGTAAGGGCAACATGTAATAAATGGTGACGAGTCTTAACAATGTATAAAACATAGTATATTTTATTCATGTAAAATGTTACTAATATATTACTAAGTGTTGAATTCAGAGTTTTGTTGTGACGTTTTCCCCAATGTCTATTTGATGGTTCTTAGGAGATTAGAGAAACCAGTCATGGGTCAGAATTATATCAGTATCAGACATTTTGACCACTTTTGTGTGGAAATCAGCCTTAAATTTGGTAGTAATAGATGGACATTTTCTGTTTAATCATTTAAGTCCACTGTATAAGTTCAGTTATGCAACTGTTTTCTGTTTCATGAGGACAAGAGAAAGAGTGCGAGAGAGCCTAAATAAAGATATAAAAATCTGACATGAAGCAAGATTTTGTTTTTGTGGATGAATAAAATCTTATAGATAGCTCTTTGAATAACCTTAGGTTGAAGAAACAAAGATGATTTTGTTAAGGGGCATTATGGAAGTGTGACAGCCAAAACATGTACAGAAATAATAAATGTCTTCTTCATACATTCTCCTGCAATGCCCTGGTCCTGTAGAATGAGCCCTGGCATTTTTACTGTGATTGCCTGTTTTTCTGTAAAATCACAGAAAAAGAGAGATGCTCGGGTCGAGCAGGCTGCTTCATGCGCGTTCACGCTCAGGCATAGCCCGTAGCATTTGCTATCCGTAGCTTTAGCAGCAGAGAGAGAGGCAGTGCCACTTTGTCGCTGTTCCTAACGCCTAGTGACAAAGCTAGCTACATTTCTGAGGACCCTTAGCTACTTTCTGTAGAACTTTCTTCTAGATATTTCCTGCTAATTAGCAACAAAATAGCCATTTTCGCTACAAACCGTTCTTTGGTTTGACGTTGTTTCAGATGTCATCAAGGACAATATGTTACAGATATTGTGAATGTTACTAGAGTGTAGCTCATCTTGTAAGATGGCTGACTCTCATGCAGAAGACCTGGGTTTGATTCTGGGTGTGAACATAGTTAATTTAGAGTTTCTTTTTTACATTAATGGTATATTTTTTTACAGTAAGATGCCCACATTTTTATTTGAGACTCGCCGAACGGCATTGAATTCACAGATAAAAAAGATGTGGGTTCAGCTTTCATTTTGGAGCAATTTTTCAAGCAAGGGAAGGGAATGATCTGAACATGCAGGAGGACTGACCCATCATAAACCTTTGTCGGCTGTGCTGAAGAGAAAGGTACAGAACCACATTATTTAATTAATTAGCTGCACGTTCTCCTGTCTTCTGTCCTCACACACACACACACACACACACACACACACACACACACGGGACTGTCTCAGCTGTTATTTTTGTGAAGGGGTGTGCACGTACAGCATGCGCGCCTCGTGCACGAGCCTACTATTGAAGCTGCCGTTACGCTTTTGGTCTGAGGGGGCGATCGCGAACATAAAAATTCAAAAGTCCATAAAGTCCCTTTAACTGTTTCACTTGTCAGCATCATGCATGCGTATTCTCTGTGTAGTGAAGTTTCTATCCACAGACTATAAAACTTGCATCTGAGATTGAATGAGACTCTAATTTTCCCTGGTTGTGAGATGATGCGTGACAGTGTCTCTGTGCTTCACTGTGATGGACTGGAGACCGGTCCAACCCCCCCCACCCCCAACCCCCACCCCCGCAGCCTGAAACCAGGAAATTAAATGTTTTGCATAAAATATGAATAATATTAATTGGAGCTGAAATGTACAATTCTGGAAAAACCTCATCTAATGACTGTGCAAGTCCTGTTCTTCGTCATAACCCATCCATCATACTGCCCTCTGACCGTCCCCTTATTCACATCCATCTTTGGGCATGAATTATGCGTTCTCAGCTTGAGGCAGTTAAACAGGAAGTAAAGCTAGAGTCGGGTTGCCTAGTTTATCAGATTGAATGTTTCACCCTGTTTGTGTTTGCCGATTTCATTCAAAGGGTTGATTTACATTTTCTGTTCTTGTTGGGAAAAGTTTAGGTGGCAGCGGATGCGCCGCATGCCGACAGGAAGGGCAGACAATTGCTTGGGGCCTCCAGGCCACAAGGGGTCTCCAGCGGGCCAACAAAATTTAAAGTCAGGATCACAACCGTGGTGAGACAGTGAAAGCTTGACTCCCAACTCACACGCCCCTGTCTAAAGTTACTTTTAACCTGTAGAGGTACCGGCACTTCAGATTTTTTTTTACCTCTCAGCGTTCCAGGACTTTCTTTCCAGGGTCGATGAGTACCAGTAGTTTTCCCAGTCATTTATTAGTTGAAATCTCCAAGATTTCGAAAAAAAAAAAAAGCATCTGCCCTTCTCCAGGTAAATACCGGCCAGCCACAGTCTCTAGCGCGCTGTCCCGCCCCTCCCGAACACGCTCGAAGGAAGCTGTAGCTGTGCAGCTACACAAACACTGTCCAAAAACTTGATTCAGTCTCTCGGATGCTCCTCAATCCACCGGTCCAAATGAAATGATGTGGAAAAAGACACCTCCTCTGTGTCTGGAGGAGGACGTCTGATTATTGATGCACTTCACCTGCTGTTGCTTGCTCTCGCTGGCACGTCTGCTCTGCTCCCCGGCAGACGTCTATCGGGGAGCAGAGAGCAGATGTGCATCCCGACGCACCACCACGGACGCATTCGCTCTATGCCTAATTTATACTTATCCGTCTGCGTCGGGACAGAGACACACAACACCATTGTGTGTCAACACAAGAGCTCTCTGAACTTGTGGAGGAAGACGGAGACATGCCCCAAATTTTAACTATCCGTCGAAAGTGACGAAGACCGCAAGCTTGTGATTGGTCAGGACGCTGACCACAAAACAAAGAATGAAACAAGAGATATTTAGTGGCAAACGCGGAACCGATTGCAGAAAGCATCGCGGAAAAAGGCTGAAAATTTGAACATTTATTCCCCTGTGACAGAAGGGGTACAAAGATATGCAGCAAGTGTTTTATTCGTGGACTGAAAAGATGAGAAATTGTTTAGAGGTGGCGATCGCAAAATGAGGTGGGTGAGGGAAAGTTTGTCCGCGCTGAAAAGTCTCTGAAAAACATTAAAACAATGTAAATACGCTATCGTGGACCAGATACCTGACTGTAATGGTGGCAGGATACCCCAGAATAGCGCTACGCCCTCTGTTGTCCTGGTGGGGAATCGTTTTGCAACAATCCCCAGCTGACGGAGAAGTCTGAAAGCAAAACGTCTCTGTCGATGCTTGTTAGATCTCTCCCTCGCAGAGCTGACGGAAATGTATGAATTAGGCTTAAATGCGCAAAAGGCACATTAGTGCTGTGTAGCGAGCCGCGCATACAGCACCATCAGCTCCCGTCGGCTCAGGCAAGAGGAGAGGGGGAAAAGAGACGGTTTTTCTGACACTGTGCTTGTTGCTGACCGACGACACGCAACACCTGACCACTGGTTGAGATGGTGTCGGTACAGGATCTGCTAGGGTGCAAGATCGGCTCAGGGTCCTTCGACTGCCGATGACGTCAAAGTAGTTGATTGGCTGAACATGAACCTTACAGAAATTACGTACCGGTAATCACGTTACGTTAGTCCAGGCAATTTTTCTGTTGGAAAGATGGACAACTTTTACAAAGAAATCCATCATTACCTCTTTGAAAATACACTTTTAGCACAGAGCTGCATGTATATTAGGGCTGAACGATTAACTGCATGTGCAATTAAATTGCGATGTGACAAAATGAGATTTTCTAATTGCAAAGGCTGCAATATGGCAGCGAGTGGTTAGCGCAATGCTAATATACATGGAAAAACCCATAGGAATGCTAATGCTAATATCACCGATTACATTCTTACAAATTATGAATTTGAAACGTGCCAAATGATTACATTTGGAGTCTAATAGAAAGTAAAACTACCACCAATCAAATAAGTACAGACAGGTATTTTAGTAAAGCCAGAAAACTTTTAACTCCAGAGTTTTGGCTAGCAGCTATGAGCGTACCTGAACTACGCATGGACAAGACGTCAAAAACTCTAAACACAAAATACTTCAATAAACGGGACACACTTGTTTCCTGCAAATACAATTTCACAGGTGTTGCAAATACCTGTGATCCTTCAAGGGATGTGCTCAAAGAGGAGTTCAACATTATGAATACAATATAGTGTTTATTTTACAAATACCATTATAAACACAAACTTACGTCGTAAGAAACATTATTTTAATAACAAAACTACTAAATTCCTTCCAACAGTATAGATGTGTAGTGTATTTTGTCCGAGTGGGTTTGCCGTACTTTGACGCCATCGCCATCCCCGAGCCGATCTTGCACCCGAGCAGATCCTGGACCGACAATGGCATCCAAGCACAAGATAGAAAAAGAGAAAACCAAACAAAATAGAAAATCTTTGTGGGCAGAAACATCCCAGCTGCTCTTCACGAGACAGAAGAGAGAATAATTGTGTCTGGATGTGGACAGAAGATGACATTTTATAGCAGCATCATTATCATTTATTTAATTCAATTCAGTTTATTTATATAGCACCAAATCACGACAGAGTCATCTCGAGGCACTTCACATAGTAAACATTCCAATACAGGTCAGTTCTTTAAGCCAATCAGCTAAAAGTTTCCTATATAAGGAACCCAGCAGGTTGCATCGAGTCACTGACTATCCTCATACTAAGCAAGCATGCAGCGACAGTGGAGAGGAAAACTCCCTTTTAACAGGAAGAAACCGCCAGAAGATCCAGCCACCTATCATGACTCGCGACTTATTTAAATGTTTTATATCGTCTTTGGTTCATAGCCTTTCAATCCCTGCTATCAGTAGTATTAATATTATTGGTGTATATATTAATAACATGTAGCAAAAACATCCATACATATTGGCCTAAGTCTAAGTATTTAGTGTATTTAGTGAGAGAGAGAGATTATGTCGTCTTGTATTAAAATCATATCATTAGCTGAAGTCATACCTACATTAGTTTCATTGTGTAATTTCCCATTTAGACCCAAATAAATCCTAACCTGCTAGTTCGATGGACTTCTGGTTCCAGCTGCTTCTGCTGAGTGCAGCTTCTCAACCTGAGGCTCATCTACGGCACAAGAACACCTGAGTAGCCTGGCTATCGTCTGCTCAGCTCAAGTTACACCGCATCAGATGACCCGTCGATATTTTTGGAAGGGGGGTACCGGCACTTGTGAGTGACTGAGAGAACCACAACACCTCACGTCCTTTTTTACAAAGACAACACCAAAACGGACAAGGTGTGGACCACCATACCAACGGCTATAAAGGTGCACGGTCAGTTTAAAAGACTTATTATAAAAAAGTGATTTTAAAGTGACAGTGTGTATTTTTCCTGGCATCAGGGGGCAGTAGATGACTAAATCGTTGCAAGCAAGCTGTATTTTTGCGTTGGAGTAAGACGTTAACTCATTCACTGCCAGCCGTTTCCTGATCGCTAACGGCCTTCGCTGCCAGCGTTTCTCACCGTTTTACTGTTTTTTTAAGAGTCACAGAACGTTGCGCACTAGGATTATGTCGATGCCAAAACAACCAAAACAAAGCGGAGACTCACCTCTTACATCAGGAAGAATCCGTGTGTTTGGAGCGTTATCCGTTCTTTCATAATACGTTGTCGAATTGTGATCGGCAGACGCTTTTCCGGTTCGCGCCTCACTTTTTTTTACAGGAACGGCCCAAAATGATCTCCTAATACATGGATGGTCTGCTTCCTGATCATGTGACGTGTGACGTATGCAGATGAAGATCGGCTTCAGAGCTGAGATGTTTGTTCTCTCAGCGCGGGGGCTCGTTCTGATGCTCAAACAGTAAAAAAATGCAAATGACGACTTTAGTCGTCAATGGCAGTGAATGAGTTAACAATGGATGCCCATTAGGGTAAAAAAAACCCAGGCAGTGCCAACTTTAGCAAAATAACGAGCACATCAGACTCTCGTACATCACTTGAAACAAGTTGAGATAAATGTATCGAACAAAATTTAAGAATGGTGAAAGTTTTGTAACCGAAAAACAAATCAGCAAATGCATTTTGTCCTCACGGGCTCCCGTAGGAGTAAACATGGCATCTAATATGGCGTGACCCAGAGACTTTGTTTTAGACCGTATTTTAGACATGATTTTTATGGTTATACGTTACAAAGCCGCCACTATTTTTCAACAACTGGGCGTCATTTCATTCGTTTTCAACATTTTGATGGATGCTTCCAGAGAGGAATGGTAAAAACTACACATTGTCTCTTTAAAGCAAACAAGTGAAAACGGAAATTCTCCTGTGATTTTGTGATCTCACGAGTCAGACTACAGCCGCTGTGGCGTCTGACTTGCTCCACACGTGGATCGATGCTCCGCCGAGCTTGCCACTAAACCTCGCCGCCATTGGATCGCACCACTCGCACACCTGAGGCGAATTGGGGGTGAGTCGTGCCGTACGCCTTCAGAAGGGCTTTTGCAGTATAACGTAACACCTTTTTAAACATAAACACGTGAAGCCCCATGGGAATATACTAGCAAAATAATAATTAAAACCTCCAGGTTAACAAATCAGACTGACTCAACAAAACAAAAATCAATGAATCATTTTATTTTCGTATGCAGTGACAATCACCTGGACTATCCGATCCACGGGACTACCTGAGATTCATCACCTGAGAGTTATCGCCTAATATAGGAAACAATGTAATTAGTAGAAATAACTGCGTTCTGGTCTCTAGTGCACCATTAACCTGTGGAAGAGTGGCGCATTTGTCTCTTTGCATTACATTCAAACTGGGTCGCTACATTCAGAGCAGTATGGCTTCCTTTTCCTGTTGAGCTTTAGGACCTCCTCAGTAGATCAGTGCTGCTCCTCCTGCCTTTTCTTACTGCAAAAAAGAAAAACGTCACGTCACCGAGAGCACGAGTTGGATCAGCTGTGACAACTCGGCGTTACCTTTCCCCTGGCGGTTTGGAGGTCATGACCCAGAGTAAATATTCTTTGGCAGCCAGGGAGTCCAGCACCTTGTTGACGTCGCTGGTGAAGCTCCCATCTACGTGCCTCCTGATGAGTTCCTGGCGCTCCCTGGCCGTTAGTGATCTGAGTGTGTAGAGAGGGGCACAATGTAAACAGACCCTATCAGGGGTTAGTTACCCCCCCCCCCCCCCCAACCCCCACCCCCCGTGTTTAACCTGATCAAGGCTCTGATCGAGGCGTCTGCCTGCTTGTGTGTTTTTCTTGCATCGTACAAAGTGGAAATCAACACGTGGGAAAAGTTCGGGTGATTTATTTTAGCACATCAAGGGAAACCAAAGCAAAGAGAAAGGGAGAACAGGACAAAAGCAGCTGATTGGTTCACGATCTCGCCCATCGTCAGGTGGAATCAGACACAAGCGGGCTGCTTTAGGTGCTTCGGCTCTGCGGCAGGGACAGGAGGGAGGAGGAAGCGGCCCTACTCTCGTCGGACTTGTCCAGACTTCAGCTTGGCAACAAAGTCTTTGATAGCTTGATCGCTGAGGTAGGAGCTAACGTCGCTGGTGAAGGTTCCGTCTGCGTGGCGCTTGTCCGTCGCTCTGAGAACACACAACAGGACCGTTCAGATAATATTCTCTACGTACGACATTTCGTATTTAAAATAGGATTAAAGTGGGAAATCCCTCCGAACCAGGCCCAGGAACGCGTTTCTGACTAAGGTTGTTGAGTTTTGTGTTATAAAAAGGGAAAATAAACAGTTTGTCACAAGAGCTCACTATGTTTTTATGCGGAGGTGGCCATGTTGGATTTTGAGGTTAGTCTACAACAGGCATGTTCCAATGGGGGTGTGTACAGATGTGTACTAATGTGTCTATTTTAGCCCATTTTTAGCAGTGCACATAAAAATACTAACCATAAAATAATTGCTGTAATTTTTTTAATGAGGAAGACTCACATTTCATGGCCTGTGAGGTAAAACATGATGATTCTGGCTTTCGTTCTAAAAGGTTTGGCCAGCCAAGGTCTGAAACACCAACTTTCTAAGGCAGAAGTCCAACTTCAGAGGTATTCCAGATAGAAATGCAGCTAAACTGTTGAGAGAGGTTTACTAACCCGCTCCTCTTGTTGCTCATCAGCCACCGGACAAAGTCCTGAGCCTTCCTGTCCTCTAGGAACTTGCTGTAGTCATTTGCAAAAGTCCCCTCTGAGTGTCTCTTCATGTTGGACAGGTCTCTGGACTCTCCCTCTAATGTGTCTTCCACCTCAAACCTGCAGCCGCAAAAACCACACACACAAGGGGTCAAATCAGAGGTCAACTAAATGTTAAATCACTGAACCTTATACTTGGGTGAAATGCTTGTTTTTTGTAATTTGAAGGCAAGAATGAAATTTTCCATCCATCTATTTTCATCCAAATGTATTTTCCCTTTTGTTTAAATATTTTAAGCAACTTTTAGATCAAATAAAATATTAAATCCCAGAAACGTTCTGTCAAATGCTTTAAATGTCATTTATAAATAGCTAAAACATCAATTTGATTATATTTTCTCCCAAAACTTTGAAACTCGTAGTTTTTGTTTTTCTTTTTTTTGCATGTCATGTTAGTTGGAGTGATATAATATAATATAATATAATATAATATAATATAATATAATATAATATAATATAATATAATATAATATAATATAATATAATATAATATAATATACTACATCTGCTCTAAGAAGCTGACTCAAGCATAAAGTGGTTCAAATGTGTCAGATATATTATATTATATTATATTATATTATATTATATTATATCTAGGGCCATGACTCGATAAAAAAATTAATCTAATTAATTAGAGGATTTGTAATTAATTAATCTAAATTAATCGCATTTTAAAGTTTTAACTTAAACTTCTGTTTTCAACTTTAAGACACGTTGTTTGTGATTGTTTACAGAGTAGGGAGAACACGGAGCGTTCTCCCAGCAGCAGCCAGGTGCCTCTCGTTTGTCTGACTACTTTCATAAACTACTGTTAGGGCAAAGAATTATTCTATCTGGAGCTTCCAGCGCTGCACAGATGTTACATAAATGTTAAAAATATAGCTTACCGCAATTTTTGTAAAGTTTCCGGTGCCACCGGGCAGCTGCAGCAGAGACAATCTCTGAAAAATGTCCGTGACACGGACTCCGTTGTTGTCTGGAAGTTTTCTTTTTTCCAAGTTAAGAAAAGAGGCGGACGTGTTTCCTAAATCCTGCATCAGTCCAAGCAAGGCAACTTATTTCTGTTTTATTCCGTTTTAGTAGCCATTAGCGCTGTGCTTTGTTGTGTGCGTCAGTAATATTCAGTCTACAAGGAAATCGTGCAATGACAAAGGTTCCGCCTTGCTCCAAATGCAAGCTGTGATTAAATGCGTAAAAAAAAATTTACGCGTAATTTTTTTCTAATTAATTAATCATAATTAACGCGTTAAAGTCCTGGCCCTAATCATATCATATCATATCATATCATATCTTATTATATTATATTATATTATATTATATTATATTATATTATATTATATTATTATATTATATTATCATATTATATTATTATATAATGTTATATCATATATCATATATTATATTATGTTATATTATATTATATTATTATATAATGTTATATCATATATCATATATTATATTATGTTATGTCATATTATATTATATTATATTATATTATATTATATTATAATAATGTGCCACAGAAAGTAAGTCCTTTTTTTTTATCAACATGAGTATTTTTGCTTTTTGTCACTATTTTGAAACCATGGCTTTAAAAATCTAATTTTCATTTTTCTTACTCAACTTACTTATTTTCTTATTCAACTTGGAATTTCAACTCTTTCAGATCTTATGGCAGGTTTAATTTTTCCTCATCATTAGTTTATATTAAATGACTGTAATTTTTATTTTAGCAACGATAACTGACATTTAAGAAGCCATCTTTTTAAATACAACATTACAGCTGGCTGTAAAAATCTTTTTTATCTGGTTATTTCTGAACTTTTACAATAAAACTGATGAGTTTCAGCTTTTCAAATTAAAGCAATAAGTGGAGAACTTACGCACAAAACTATTATCATTCAACTTTTAAAAAATATTTCTTATTATTGCATTTTTTTTTGTTCCAGCCTCTGAACCCCAACTAGTGGTTGACCTCATGGGTCAGTGAGAGACCATAGCTGTTACCTGGAGTCGTCGCCAGCCTGCTGCAGAGCAACCTGCCAGCTGATCTGGACCAAGCTGAGGACCAGGAGGCCACCAGCCAGGGAACGGATGCTGTTCATGTTCATAACCTGTGATAAAACACAGTTCAGGCAGCTAAAGTTGATCCGTTTACCAGAACAAAGACAAAACTCACCTTCGATTGTCTCCCTCCAGCTCTAGTTCCTCTGCATGTGAGTGAGCACCTGTCCAACCCTGCAGCTTTATTTCCCAGAAGAGGAGGGCGGGACGGTTTTACGCCCATTACTTCCAACCCATTAGACACAGCGGCCCTCTCAACGGGCCGAACCAACGAGCCGAGCTCATCGCGAGGAAAGGTGCAGGTCATGCGTGAAGCCTGCTTGTACTTTTAGGCGTGAAGATCAAACACCTGCAGCTCATCCTGTTAAACACAACGTGATGGAGATGAGCTTAATGTGCTACCGTGTTTTAATGCTGGGAACAGGTCCCTGTCTTCCTTTATCTGGTTTCACAAGTGGAACCAGTCGATGAAGCCCCACAAACAGCTGTTTCTGGAACTTTCTGACACCACTTAGAAAGGGGAAAATTACTAATCATAATCGATTCAGTACAGAACATATGTTATCCTAGGCTGTGTCCAAACTCAGGGGCCACATTTGAAGGTCCATGATGTCACAGCAAAGCAACAAGGCTGTCCAAATATCCTCCATATCCCAAGATGCTTTTTGGGATATGCAAATTATGCAAGATGCATAATATTAGTTTTAAATTGATAATAATATTTTGTGGTAGTACAAAAATAATTAACTTGTTGCAAGGCTTTTGTTGTTTTTATAGATGTTAGTAATGTAGTTTTGGTCAAAAATCTCAAGAAAAATGGCAAACAAGCCTGTATGGCAGTCCAATATTACAACTAAGTTTATGTCTGTTTACCACCATCATAGTTGATGGGCTACAGGATGGCCGCTGATGTAAGGCTGCATATTCTGAAGGTCCAGTTTCAGTTCACTCCGGTCTTCGAGTTTCATGAAGGACCCAGCGTACACCAATCAGGTAAGACGGGTCCGACGATGATGCTGTCCTTGAATCAGGATGCACTTACCTTTTACAACGGATACTCGGGTGAGTTCCAGTACTACTACTACTACTACTACTACTACTACTACTACTACTAAATCATGTTAACATGCCTCTTGTTCACCTGATCTCCTCCTCCCATTGTATTTAAGCCCCGTCAGTCCTGTGTCTAGTGTCGGTTTGTCTGTTGTCCTGGTCTTGTGTCTCCCAATGTCAATGTACTTCCTGTTGTTTCTGCACTCCCAAGTCCCTGCAATAAATGGATTTAAGTATTTTGCTGCCTCAGAGCTTCACTCACCTTCATATGAGTCCAAACCCAACACTCCTCATGACAACAGGTGCCATTACAGTAATACAGGTATGAGTAAAAGGACAGAGTGGTCTATCACAGAAGAAGTTACAGGTCTGAGAGCCAGAAATATTGCTTGTTTGTAGGAGACCAAATCCTTATTTGCCACCATATTTTCACATAAATTCTTTAAAAATCAGAAAATGTGATTTTCGGGAATTCTTTCCCCTCATTTTGTCTCTCTTAGTTGAGGTACACCGATGCTGAAAGTCACAGGCCTCTCATCTTTTTAAGTGGGAGATTTAGCGCAAATGGAGGATGCTGACTGCAGCCTTTGACACTGTTGACCATCACCTGCTACTGGAGAGGCTGAGAGACTGGGTAGGCCTATCAGGTTCTGCTCTGGAGTGGTTCTCCTCTTATCTTTCTGGGTGTTCCTTCTCTGTGGCCGTCTCCAAGTTTAGGTCCTCTACCACCTCCCTTACCCATGGTGTCCCACAAGGTTCTGTGCTGGGGCCTCTGCTTTTCCTCCTCTATCTGCTTCCTCTTCAGCACATCCTGAACTCCTTCAAAGGAATCTCCTACCATCTTTATGCAGATGACATCCAACTGTACATCTCCTTTAAGCCCCATGAGATGTCTAAGCTGCAGCTGCTACACACCTGCTTAGACTCTGTCAAAACCTGGATGGTGGGAGCTTTCTTCAGCTGAATGAAGATAAGACTGAGATCATCATCTGTGCCCCAGACAAGCTGGTTCCCAAAGTCAGAGACTCTCTTGGTCAGCTTTCTTCTCACACCAAACCTTCCGTCAGGAATCTTGGAGTGACCTTTGACCCAGCTCTCACCCTGGATTCTCATGTCAGTTCTCTTGTTCGCTCTTCCTTCTTCCATCTCAGGAACATTGCTAAGCTGAGTCCCATTCTGTCCCGCTCGTGATTTTTATCTTGAGAGGCGCTATAGAAAAGATCTCTTCTTCTTCTTCTACTACCACTATTACTACCACTACTACTACTTCAACGATTACTACTACTACTACTACTACTACTAATACTACTACTACAACTACCACTACTAATACAACTACCAATACTACTACTACTACTACTACTACTACTACCACTATTACTACTACTACAACTACCACTACTACTACTACAACTACCACTACTACTACTACTACCACTATTACTACAACTACCACTACTACTACTACCACCACTACCACTATTACTACTACTACTACTACCACTTTTAATACTACTACCACTATTACTACCACCACTATTACTACTACTACCACTATTACTACTACTACAACAACTACCATTACCACTATTACTACTACTACCACAACTATTACTATTACTACTACTGCTACTACTACAACTACCCCACTACTATCACTATCACTAATACTACTACCACTACCACCACTATTACTACTAGTACTACAACAACTACCACTACTACTACTACCACTATTACTACCACTACTACTACTACTACTAATAATAATAGTATTAATGACTATTACTATTATAAATGTGCTCTAATAAAAGTTTCATAGTTTCAAATTAAAAGTCAGCCTAACTGAAAATTTTCATTTTTTTTCTCACATCTTTATGTCCAACTGGTCACCAACAGAGATTGTGGTTCAAACATCAGACAAGAGAATAAAATACAAACTCTTGACAAAAACAAAATTATCTAATCTGGATTAACAAGTAAATAAATGTGGAATGATTGAAAATAAATACCAAAAACATATAAAATTTCTAATTCTTTAATGTATCATTAAAAAAACTGTAAAAAGATCATAAAATATTTATTAATGAAATAATTTTGAGACTTTTGTTTCATGTTGACAAAAAACAATACCAGTGTCCATCCTGATAGCTATAATCTGAATACAACGTTAAATATAAAATTCACATGATTTTAATATTTTGCAGCATTTGCCCGAATGTACACGAAAAGATTTAATATTTAAAACAAATAAATAAGACTCGGAGAGCTTTGTTCCTGCAGGACATCAATAGTCGAGTTTAAGCAAAGCACCTCCGCAGGAAGTGGGACATGTGGGTGTAGACGTGTCTGTTGGCTTTACCGTCCAACCCGTGGTCCTTGTCTGTGTACCACTGGAGAAGAACAAAATATTTATTTTTATTTCTCTCCTTGAATCATTTTGTGTTATCTGATTCCTCACCATGGCCTCAAAGTCCACCTGCTCCAGAACCAGAGCTTCAGAGATCTCCGCCGCCTGCTGGAAATGAACGTTATCTAAAATAAACAAGACAGAGCATTAATAGACAGCTAATACGTTAGATAAGCAAAACTAAGAGTGTCTGGGACAAAATATTGGAATTTTGATGCTAGTTTAATAATTTCATATAAAATTACTCTGCAAGAAAAAGAAGAAAAGCTGAAACATTATTTGATAAAAATGTAAATTCACAACATTTTGAGGAAAGGATCAAATTTACAATTTACCAGAAAAAATGTATTTAATTCATAAATTTGCTGCTCCAGAGGTGCCGGGTGCAGACTCCTGCTCTAGTCCAGCGTAAGGTAACATGACCCCAAATCCATATTTATTTCTTCATTATTCATCATAGCTAGCCCATTGTGTTGTAGACAGAAAACAGCAGGGCATTTGGGTCGGTAGAGATTCTGTGTTTCACGTTAATAAAGTTCAAATCTGACAGAGAACCTGGATTTAGCATGCTAATGCTACATGCAGGCACCATGACCGTTTCCCGCTCTTACGTATTTGTTTTTGTTCAGACCCTGTTTACACCCAGCTGGATATTTTCCTACAGTTTGGTGCATGGACGTAAATTTCCCTTTAAAAGTGGGGGGTGGGGTGGGGGGGGTGGGGTATCTTTACAGTATGCACTAATGGGAAACAGGCTTCAACACAAACGGTTGTTTTCCGCTTGGTCCTAGAGCTCAACCAGTGTCAATTTAATATAGCGTAATATTGGTTTTGGATGGTAAAAAGTGCAGGGGTCAAAACTTGACTTTGGAAAAAGTGGGGGGGGGGGGGGGGGGGGGGGGCATATCTCTCCCCCCCCCCCCCCCCCCCCCCCCCCCTCCTAATTATGTCCATGGTTTGGTGCACAGGGAAGAGAAGGCATGGCACCCCAAATTATTCTTTCAGAAACTCCGACCAGAGTAGAGATTTGTGAATTGTCCGTTGTCGGTATTTGCTTGAAGACGTAATGAACCGGGGTTTTAGGTTTCGGAACGTTACCCGTTGGCCGTGAAAAAAAAAAAACAACAACTCTGACATCACGTGTGTGACCTGTGCTTGTTTTAAAAGCTGCTTTACCTCTCTGTGTAAGACCAGAGAAGGACAATGTTAAGGATGGTTATTGACTTTTTCCTAGTTATTCCACGTCTAAGGAATGTTTTTCGACAAAGACATTGTAGATTTGGGGTTCTACTGCCACCTACAGGCTTGACGTGCCATCTCATTGCCCTGGATTTTTAAAGGCAACGAGGTACCGTGGAACTAGTTTTTTTTCCTAGGTGGGTGGGAGAGAGAGTTTGGCTTTACAAAAACATGGCTTCATGAGGACATGACCTCAGACCTCAGGCTAGATAAACCAGACCAAAACCCAACGGGTCAAAGTTCGTGTCTAGATCCGTTGCATTTTTCAGGAAAATCGTTAGATATAAGCAATCTAAAAAAAAAACAAAAGAACTTTACAGTCATTCATATCTGAAAACTCCAGCTCTCCTTGTCCCGGTTCTGGTGTGGTTCTGGTGTGGTGGGGTTAGAGCCTGGATCACTCACCATCAGCTGTTCCATGAACCAGGAGATATTTGACAGAGTGGAAGTTCTTGGCTCTCTCCATTACCGTTGAATTCTGTGGACAGATTGTTGATCATCCAGAGGTAGAACTAGATATATTATGGTCTGTGTGAGCTTACGGCATAGGCGTGGGGATTCTCCGACGGCTGCATCATGTAGCGCTCCGTGTAGATGGAATCTGAAACCATCATATTAATACAAACATTAGAAACTGTCGTTTGACTTTTCTCCTCACACGTTTTTTTAGTTTTTTGCTTTTTTTGTCCCACTTGAATGTTTCAGATCAGCAAATATAAGACAAAGAAAACCTGATTAAATATGAAAATCACGTCTCGGATCATTTTGCTTGTCAAGGAAACAAAACTCTCCAACCGGAGGGTTACAATCAGCTATTAAACTTAGTGCAAACTATTTTATTGTTGATCTAAAACATAGAAAAACTCCAATGCTGGAATAGGGTGTACGGCAAAAGGGGAATACCATAATATTCCCATTTGGACACCGGAGCCACGGCCATGCCACACTGAAAGACTCCGCTGCCTGAACCCAGGACCATAGACGTCACATAACCACCGTAGGACTGTGGGAGATAAACAGCTCATCACTTCTCTAAAGGCCAGAGTCAAACATTAACTTCTTCTTCTACTACGACTCACCCATCCCCATATGGCCACCCTGTCTTTGTCCACAAAGCCCATTTTGATGAATTCCCTAAAAACACAGTAGAACAAGAAAAATCCAGTTTGATCCAGATTTCCTGGACAAGATAGGGGCGAGGGTTGTTTGTTTAAGATGCGCTGACTCATCTTACCTGGCGGCTGCTATCTGATCTTCTACCTCAACGGTTCCCAGACGTTTGTAGATTTCATGCATTATCTGGTCGCCCTGGTAACCACTTCCTCTTCCGTCAAAGCTGGCCACGATGATCTTCTCTGTGCTGGCCAGGTAGGTGGACCAGCCCACCCTGTACCTGAGGTCTACCTTTTGACTGCAGGGGCCGGCGTATCTGTTGGTTTGGGTGAATTGGTGTTTTCGTTGGAAAGATTTGTTGTATTTTTCAACAATAAATTGTGTTTTCTAGATAAGTTCAGATCTTACACATCGATCAGCAAGGGATACTTCTTGGACTCGTCAAATCCTGGAGGCAGGTACATCTGGTACCAAAGGTCTGCCAGTTAGAAAAAGAGATTTAGTAGGTGACGGTGTAAAGTTTAAAGGTTGATCATCAAGCAATAAAGCTCGGTGTGATAAAAATGACTTAGCTAACATTTATGTGGATTGTTATATGTGCTATTTCAGAAACATTTACACAGCTGTCAATCTAGCATTGCATGGACTCTACCTGTCCAGTCCAGTTAAAATAACAACAAAACAGCAGGAGTAATCAGACCAATGCCATGCTCTGTGTAGACAAACTGTCTCCCTACACTGTGATCCTTGCATGAAAATGGTTAATAAACAGCAAAAGTATTGGATTGGGACTTTGTATCAATAGATCAATAATGTACATAAAGTCATGATCGCACTTAGGCCTCTGTAACAGTTTGTCCCTAATTATTATTCCTATCCTTAATTTAGAGAATAGGAATAATTGTATATATTTATTTAATTTTTTACATTTAAAGGCACACCTGGCAGTTTTGCTTGCTTTTAGCAACTAAAAATGTACCTTGGTCTTTTTAACACCTTAATCTAACAGCTAAAATGTCTCCCAGCCTTCATTAGTGTCTACAGGAGTGGTTCACCAACAGTGTTGGGAGTAAAAGCATGGACGTTTAACAGCGTTACTAACGGTGTTATTTTCTAGGTAACAGAGTAATCCAGTTATTTACTTTCCCCATGGTTGCAACGCCGTTACCGTTACTATAATGTGCTGAAAGCCGCACCAGTGATGTGTCGTCCTCAAACAAAATGGCTCTTAGAGCTGATTGGAGGCGGCTGCGTGACTGTACCCGGATCCCCCATCCTTCCCTGAGGCGGTGTTGAAAACAGCAAAAATGAACACACAGTCCCAAACACTTCAGGGTGTGTGCTGATCGAAAGTATGTGTGTGTGTGTGCAGCCAAGGCTTAGGCAAGCCATATTAGCATTTAATCAACAATCAAATCCCTCTGTAATTCTGATTCATGCAGCAATAATTTAAAGGTATGGTGGAGGATGTTTCTGAATTTCAGGAAGGAACTGCCCTCAGAATCTCAAATTTATTATGCAGACTGGATATCTATATTCTATTGTTCCTAGTAGAAATTAACATTCCAGATATCCATAAGAACATTCCTGCTACAATATAGATATCATAGAACATAAAGGTAGCGTCACAGTTACTTTGCTAGGCAACTAAATACTATTACAATGTGGTAACTACATTACTAACTCAATTACTTTTTGGAAAAAGTAATTTGTAACTATAACTACTTTTTTAACATAAGATGCCCGACACTGTTCGTCACCAAATGAAACAAATTAGCTGTGCTCACAATCTAATGCATGCAGGAAACGTGCTGGAAGTAGACTGCAGCGCCAGGTATGTCAGCTCAAATTTTCCTACGTCCAACTGGTGGCGACCCACCACACTGAAGTTGCAAATGTGATGTTCTGGCCACAGGGGGCGATAGGGGTCTGAGTGACACTTTATTACATCTGTAAGAAGTCATTTTAGAACACTGGCTCAAGAAAAGGATTTAAAAATATGATAAGGTTGCAAAGTATCCTTTTAAAAATGACTAGAGCCCTTTTCAGATAGACATTCTGGAATATGTGTGGACAATTCAATCCGGTTTTTAACCGGAACTGTGTTTTCAGACACACCACTTTTGTACCGGAACTTGTCCTTTCGGCTGCCTTCACACAGCAGGGAAAAGTTCCAGATGTCTGGGGGGGGGGGGGATCGGACTTATGTTAAGCATAATTCTGCGCACACGAAGACATATAAGAGACCTGGATGATGAAGCTCAATGGTTAAAGGAATCACTGAAGCGGTGTGAAGCGGTGTGAAGCGGTGTGAAGCGCTCCGTCGCGCGTCTAGACGGTACCGTAAGAAGGCGAGCTGCCATGGTTCGCCGCATGCTACAGGAGCGGGCTATCTAGGTGCGCACAGCGTCCCACGGTCCCCTCCTCCTCCCCCTCCTCCCTGTCTGGAACTCGACCTCACCAGTCTGAAGCAGCCACCTTGTCCTTAACAAGTCCGGACCTGTTACTAGGGGCGTCGCCCGGTTAAATTACTGAAAACGTTATCCGGATGTTTGTATTCAGACACAAAGGTCTTACGGACAAAGTCCGGAACATTTCTGTTTTTCATGGCCTGTCTGAAGGGGGCTTATTTCTTTTAATGGTGTTCAGACGAGCCACTGTAAAAGTCCTGGGATTGCAGATACAGACTAGCCGTTAGCTCATCAATCCTGATTTAGCCAAACTGCAAGATAAATCAAGCTAATGTGGCCGGTGCCGCGGCTCCTCATAGACGCGTTTTTGTTCGTAATGAGATTATTGTGCTTCTGTTTGAAGGTTTAACCATTTAAAAACTCCACCCACAGGAAAGGAGACGATGCTATCAGTGACCAGATGCTAATGAGATGCTAATCTTCAGTGTTTTAGCCTGTTCATAAATGATTTATTACAGATTTACCACAAGTTACATGTGATTAAAATGTTAAATATCAGCTACTGGAGGATAGTTGCCCTGGTAACTATGGTTAGCATCACCTTTGTAAAGCAAGGCTATTGCTAAAACTATCTTTCATGAACATATATTAGAAAACCATTTCCTTTTAAAACCCTTCACAATAAGAGCTTCAACATATTGTGAATGCATTTGAAAGGATCTCATCTCTTCTCAGTTTATAAAGTAAAACAGATTTAAGGCTTTAGGCTTAACGTCTTCATCCTGCAGACTATAATCAGCCCAATACATATTTGTTCAGCTGGTGAAAGTGATCTAATAAACAAACAATGAAGTAAACAAACATTACCGTATTGGTTGAGTCTGATGGTTCGGTGACGCATGGTCGGCATTGAAATCTGAGATATCTCCATCCTAAATGCCTGGTTGTCCTCCAGACCTTTGATCTCTTCTCATGCAATCACACAAAAAGATCCTTTTTCTTCCGCTCTTTTACTTCAGTACAACTTTGCAAACTTGGCGCTTACGTGTGTTGCTCCTGGTATCCATGAGAACTTGCTGGGGGACACCAGGACCTTTAAGGGAAACAGTGGAGATGAGTGTGACGAAGTGGTATGGATGATTTCCCATTCGCCCCTGTAATTTATTTCTGTAGCCTGCTGGCACTGTGATGGGGGATATTTTAACCAGCAGGGGCGGCGTTAGGCCCGGCTACTTGGGCTGAAGCCCCGGATGTTTCATGGAAAGCCCCGGATCTAAATCGCGGAAGTAACATGCAGTACCAAAGTCCAACAGAGAGGGAGCAGATGGCAGTAGTTTGTATACAGCCTGCCTGAGTCTCCACCACTGAAGAAGAAGCCCTTCAGCAGCCGGCTTCTTCTACAGTCTCTGCCTGAAACGCATGAGTGAAGATGGACATAAGGACGTTTTTTTTAGACCAAAAGTACAACGACAGAACCCCAGCTTTGATGAGACTGGTGCTGACTCAGGTTTGTGAGTCTTATTTGAAAATATTTGTTGTGCTGCTGGTTTGCCTAAAGTTAGCTTATCAGGTAAAGTTGATGGAGAAAGAAAGGGAATATTTACAATTATCTCACACTAAACACTTACAGGAACAATACTCTGCCCTGAAAATGCTTAATATGTAGCTTCAGATTAAAAATTATGTGGTACAAGACATATATGATGTTGACTGGTGTGTGTCACGTGTGTGTGTTAAGCCCCGGATCTTCTTCAGTCCTAAATCCGCCCCTGTTAACTAGACTGAAATGTGAATATTGCACTGGTGTGGATGTAATGAGTTTTGTTGGTATGTTGATGTACCGGTAGTTACCATTTGGGATTTCATGTTTGCTTTGTATCCAGAGTAGGTTGTAGTACTACCTCCCTGGATCATCCTATGATTGGCTGCTTCATTTGGACAAACCAAAGGAAGTGGGATTTGTTTCTTTGGCCTTAGTGTAAAAATGAGTTTTGTATTGTAGACACAGTTTTGTCTTTTCTATATGTTAACACATTTATGTGGATGTTTATTTCCTTTTGGGTTTAATGTTGGAGCGCTGATGATCGGGCTGATTGTTTGCAGGTGTGATTTTCTGGGATATTTAAAGGAAGCCAGGTGGAGGCTTGAGGAGGGTTTGTCCCTGTGCTGCAGTTTGCCTCTAAGGCCCTGTCCACACGTAGCCGGGGATCTGCCAAAACGTAGATATTTTTCTACGTTTTGGCCTGTCATCCACACGAAAACGGATCTTTTTAAAAACTCCGGCCAAAGTGAAGATCTGCGTTTTCTCCGTTTTGGGTGTCTGCGTGTGGACAGACAAAACCGGAATTTTAAGGTCCGCAACGTCACTTTCCACAACAAAAAAATGCTGACATCACGTGTGCGACCTGTGTTTACACTAGCCGACAGCATGGATGCCCTCAGAGCTGCACTCGCTTTATCAATTGTCCAAGCGCTTTTTGCTTGTTTGTTTTTGCAAGCGGAATTACTGCTCCTTGCGGAAGACCACAGACGAAGGACGAGGTTAAGAACGGGGGAAGTACTGCCACCTACAGGTCTGGCATGTCCTTTACAACGTATTTATCCGGGAACGTGTGGATAGTTTATTTTTTAAACGAGGTGGTGTGGATGCAAGTTTTTGGAGGGGCGGATTTTTTTTTTTTTTTTTTAAACGGCTACGTGTGGACTAGACCTAATTCTTTCACCTTGAAGACCTTCTGGCTGCTCTACATTCTCACAATGAGTTATTTAAAAGAAAACAGAACATCAGCTCACCACTGCAGCTCAAACTGTAATAGGAGGCATTGTGGCTGAAGTACGCTGAGTTATATTCACAGTCTGAATGGAAGAAGCAGGTTAGACACCTGGTGCTGTGTTTGGTCCACCTGACACACACACACACACACACACACACACACACACACACACACACACACACACACACACACACACACACACACACACACACACACACACACACACACACACACACACACACACACACACACACACACACACACACACACACACACACTCAGTAAGTCTGATTGAATATTTGACTAGGACATTCGTGCAGCGGGAGACTCTGAAGTGTACGTACTCGTAAACATTCCTTCCTCCTGGTTTGTTGTTGTTTTCGTTGCTTGAGTAAAATCTGAGGAGGGATGATTTAGTGCAAATCAAAATACAGATGGGTTTTAAGGAAATTAACCAAAAACTTCAAGAAAAACCAAATTTGTAAATGAAACATGCTACCAATAAAGAGCAACAGAAGACGTACACACTATCTGCAGTCACTTTCAGGATATCGATGACCTCCCAGACTCCAGAGGTCACAGGTGTAGCTTCTCCCTGCACGGACAGTCCACGTTCAGACAGCGATTCACATCATGAAGGATTATTTAAAACAGAGAAGATCATCACCTTAACCACATGATGGATGTGCTTGTATTTGCTTCTGTCGCTCGTGATCAGGTAGTAGCTGCTCTTGTTGGAGGCAAACACTGGTTCTGGTGGAGAAAACTACAACCAAAGTTTTAGTTCACGTGTGAATAACTTGTCTTTAAGTTATCATAAGTAGAAGTCCAAAACGTAGCTTGATTTAACAGTGAAAGTAACATACCCGTCCAACCCAGCCAGTACTTGTCAGCTCCAGATGCTATCAGGACATAAAGCATAACTTTCAGTCCAACCAGATGTGCAGAGATTCTAAATACTGACAGTTTGCCACCATTGCTGTGTGTCCTTGGTGTTAAAGAAGCTGATAACAGCTGTGTTGTATGATGTTGGGATTTGTCCGCACATCTCTTTCTGTCAATTTCCATGGCGATAAGAGTTTTCTACCAGTTTCAAAACTACATCTGTAAGTTTTACCCTCAGCAGAAAATAGTGAGGACACTGGATTGGCCTGTCCAATCTAGATGTCTTTTATTTATATGGACTTGCTCCTCGGCTGCGCAGTGGCGCAGTGGTTAGAGCTGTTGCCTTGTAGCAAGAAGGTCCTGGGTTCGCTTCCTGGCCTGGGATCTTTCTGCGTGGAGTTTGCATGTTCTCCCTGTGCATGCGTGGGTTCTCTCTGGGTTCTCCGGCTTCCTCCCACAGTCCAAAAACATGACTGTTAGGTTGATTGGTCTGTGTGTCTCTGTGTTGCCCTGCGATGGACTGGCTCTCTGTCCAGGCTATACCCCGCTTGATTGCCCATTGACCGCTGGAGATAGGCACCCGCCACCACCCCCCACCCCCCCCGCTCCCCCCACCCCCCCCGTCCCCCCACCCCACCCACCCCACCCCCGCGACCCTACGTGGACAAAGCGGGTTCAGAAAATGGATGGATGGACTTGCTCATCTTGTTCCTAAATGTATCCAAATTCGCCAGAGATGGGGGCTTGCCCGGGAAACAAACCCTGGCTCTCTTGTATGTTAAAGCACCTCCTCTCTCCCTTTATTAAGGCAGAAATATACTTTTAGTCTACCTCATGCATGCTAATCTGTATGTCTGGTCTTACATAGCTTGTGTCATCAGTACCAATCCAACAGAATATACCAAGCCCCTTTGTGGACCAACAGGTGTTTGTCTTGGTATGTGTAGTGATGATAATGTCCTATTAGTTATCACACACTCTGGTCTGTGGTGAAATTACATCTCTGCATTGACCCACCCCCATATGGAGAAGTGAGCTGTAGCAGTGGCTTGGGAACTATTTGAGGGTTTAGCCCCACAATCCAACCCCTTAAAGCGGAGTGTCAATCGGGGAGGCACTGGGTCCCATTCATGTCTTCAATATGAACCAAACATGGATCTGAACCCACGATCTTCCAGTCTCAGAACAGACACTCATACCACTTGGCCACTGAGAAGGTTATGTAAGATTCCAATTTGAGAGCCACCGAGGTTGGACAATCCATTACTCGGGCTCATAAATTCCTCCAGTTAGACTTAATTTTGAAAGCGTCGGATCCTGGCCACTAGACCATCAGGGATGGCCTGTGGCCTGTGGGCTTGCCGCTGATATCTCCCGGCTCTGCCGGCTGCTGGTTGTGGCCCCCCCGGGGCGATCCTCTGTGCCTCTCGAGGGGGGCGGGCCTTTCTGGTTGCAGTCTCCTTGGGGTCCCTGTGTTCTGGGGCAGCGCCTGGATCTCTGGGACTTGGAGCTCCCTCCATCTCCTGCACATCTTTAGGGGGCAGATCTGTGGTCCCTCACACTCTCTATTGGACGCTTTTCTAGAGAAACCTTGCATAAACAAGCGCATGTACACACACAGGTGCTCACATGGTGTTTATGTTTATCTATTTAGCAGACGCTTTTGTCCAAAGCAACTTACAAGTGATAATCGGCATTTTGCCCTTGAGGCTAACAACAACAATAACAACAACAACTTGACATCAGTCATGGAGAGGAGGGAACAAGGAGTGGACAGTTGAGAGGGGGGCGGGTGCAGGGAGGGTGCTAGTTTAGAAGATGCTCTCTGAAGAGCAGGGTCTTCAGGAGTTTCTTGAAAATTGAAAAGGAAGCTCCTGTTCTGGTAGTGCTTGGAAGGTCATTCCACATTTGTGGAACGATGCATGAGAAGAGTCTGGATTGTCCTGAGCGTGGTGTAGGCACTGCTAGCCGACGATCCTGTGATGACCGGAGCGGCCGGGCCGAGACGTAAGCCTTTGCAAGAGGATTCAGGTAGATGGGAGCCGTACCATCGCGGACTTTGTATGCTAGTGTTAGCAATTTGAATTTGATGTGTGCTGCTAGCGGTAGCCAGTGGAGCTCAATGAACAGAGGGCTGACATGTGCTCTTTTTGGCTGGCTGAAGACCAGACGCGCCGCTGCGTTCTGGACCATTTGAAGAGGTCTCACAGTACAGGCTGGAAGACCAGTTAGAAGGGCATTGCAGTAATCGAGGCGGGAGCTGACAGTAGATTGCAACAGGAGCTGGGTGGCATGTTGTGTTAGGAATGGTCTGATCTTTCGTATGTTATACAGCGCAAAGCGGCATGAACGAGCAACAGAGGCAACATGAGCTTTAAAGGTCAGGTGTTCGTCAATCACAACACCCAGATTTCAAACTGGTGCTCTCATAAGTATGGACTTGGGCACGTTCAACACGTCTTAAGGCTGTCGTTGCCACTAAATGCACTATGATTTATTATCATGTTATTGTTCAGTTAAGCAATGCTGATTGTATATTTCTTCAAGTTGACACAGTGATAGCTTGCTCCTGTTGTATTGTTGTGTCCCATTTTTTTCTTCTTTCTCTTTCTGCAGGTCTAGAAGCAGACCCCCCCCCCCCCCACACACACCTTTTGTCTTTTCCTTTCTCTTTCACCTCTGACTCTGTGTCTGGTCGGAATTACAAAGCATTCAAAAACAATAACAATAAAGTTTTAAGTATCAGGCGTGACATTAAAAGCAGACGCTTTGATGCTCCACCTGAGAGTAAATCTGTAAGGCTTGTCACCAGCATTCAGACATCAATTCTGTTTGCTTCACAGCCAGACAGGACACGGGGGAGAGAGAAAAGACTTAATTTTGAAACTGTAGACTTTCGAGTCAGCTGACCCAAAATTTGAATTGCACTTGCGTCGGGAGGATCTGAAATCCAAGCACAGACATGTAAGACGAAGCCCTAACCCTCGCCCATTAACCTGACGGTTTGATCTGCATAAAGGACAAGTTCTGTCTTAACTATGATGTCTTTTTAGTGTCAATGTGGTCCAGCCACTTTATGAAAAGGGATATGCTGGTGAAGGCTCTCAGTCACCCAGGACATGGTAATCCAAAGGGTTCACTTGAAGTCAGCTGGGCTTCTTTGGTTTCTTGAAGACGTTTTACTTCTCATCCGAGGCACTTTGTCAATTCTAACTGGAATTTCGGGAGAGTCGAACTTAAGCTTGGTTTATGCTTGACGCATTCACTTTCCGCGCAGTGATGCGGATGGAACGCGCTTCACAACTCGCAGCGTTTATGGTTCATGCGGCTCGTCTCTGCGGTGAGCCAATATTCTCCCAAACTGAACGGGGCAGCATGGAGCTCTATGGCAAGCATCCAACACTACACCATAGTAGAAGTAGAAATTACTGTTGTTTACAACATGGCATTTCAGCATTTTTAACAGCGTCCTCGTCTTTTTCGACAGTGCGAGCTATTTCTCTCCAAGAATCATTAACAACATGTTGATCACGGAGATCTTTGAGAGCTGAATCATACAAATGTCTGTATTTACGAACTCTGCCGTACTAGTTCTTGCCGGTCCGCCATGTTTTTCCGCGTCCGTCCGTCCGCGTGGTTAGAAATTTTCCGAAGTGCGCGTTGCGGAAATTCTGGGCCATGCGGAGGCGCGGCGGAGGGGCGTGGTTGTTAAAATGAAGCAAAATGACGCAACTTTTCCACGCGGAGCTGTGCGGACCTCGCGGACGCGTCAAGCATAAACCAACCTTTATAAGCCGTAGCTGTCTGTTGTTATTTAACGAAGTGAAAAGGGATAGTAACATTTCCAGAGAATCCTTACTTAATGTATGTTAATATTTCTGAAATTTACCTCATCAGGATCCCAACTAGATCCGTTAAAGTTGTAGACTTGAATGATGAGGTGGTTTTGAACTCTCTTTAGCCACTGAACAGCCAGACGTTCATCCGTCACCCAAGTGACAGAAGCCAGGTAGTGGTCGCTGGTCGTCGGAAAGAAGAAACACTGATAAAACCCTGTTTATGTCAGATTTTTATAGTGAAGATTACATCATAGTGTGATGCTTTACACTGAGCTGAATAGGTCTGGAACCGCCACTTCAGTGATGTGTGTTCGGTTATCTGCGTCCACTACAAACAGTTTTACAACAGGATTGGGAGTACCGGCCTGCAAAAGAAACCAGTCTTTTTAAAATGAAGAGAAGAACTTCAACTATTCCAGAGATTAGTAGAGTTTATCTCAAATTTCTACCTTAGGGTATGGAATGAAAACGGTGCTGGGGTACTGGTTCTCACCATACCAGGTGTACTCTATAGCGTGCACCCCAGTGTCGTTGAAAACAGCATAGGCTACGTACTTCCCTCCAGGAGACCACCAGAGGCCCTGATTTGATGAAAACATCTCCTCTGAAATGATAAAGAAAAATTAAGATGTTTATCTCATTTACATAAACTGTTTTAGGACAACGTAGCCCCCATGTCACAGTGGATAACGGACCCCTGCTAGAATGTAGCATTTTAGCCGGATCATGGATGGTCTTTGCAGGGTTTTTATAGCCTGGCAAGCCATCCTATATTTGTCGGTATGTAGTCTGGTCATAAGCTGCTGAAACCACCCAATCATGGGACATAATTTATGGTTGTCTTTTATTTTTCTCCATCATACCTCTGGTGTTTAGCCTGCCCCACAGACGCGGAGCACTGTGATTGGCAAGACACTGTTTGGGCCAATGGTAGAACTGATGACACTACAACATGGCATGGCTAGACTGAGCTGCTAAGCAAAATTGTTTGCTACTGCAATGGTTGGTCTAGATTTATAGCCTATGGTCTTTTGGCACTTTGCATCATTTCATAGCACCAGCGTATGAAAGGCCTGGGTGGAGCATAGAGGCAGAGGACATGTGACATGGGCTTTTGTGCAATTGCACGGTTTTAGGGTTGAGAATGTTGAGCAGGATGGCCCATGCAGTCCCTAGCCTATATAATGTGTTAGTACAATGCTGCAGTCTGAGAAAAATGTCCTAGATTGGGGCTTGGGGTGTTGGGTTAGGACATTTCATGAGAACAGGGTTTCCACAGGCCATTGTAACCCTAAGACTTGACTATGATCTCATGATGAGGTAGCATGATGCTAGCATGGAGTGATCTTCTGGCATGTGGCTGCATCCTGATGTAGTTCTGCACTGAGGCTGGGACACGGTGCACTGATGGGTGTGTAGTAGCCTTGCTGTGGTCTATAGAGTGTTGTGAGGGAGCAGGGAAGCATCTTTGAATGCAGGAGAACCCCTGGTTGGTGATAATTATGCATCCTAATGACCTTCGCATTGAAAGAGGTCTTCAAAATGTTGCTATGCCCCAACAGTTATGAAAGAGAGATGCAACCTCAAGTAAATTTGAGGAATTTCAGTATTACAAAGTCTTGTTTATGATTAAGCGAAGAAGGTAGCTTAACAGGCAGATCAGGGCAGCGTCAGAAGTACTGAACCAGGCTGTTCTGAAGAGGGAGCTAAGCAAGAAAGTTCAGATAACTGGTTCCTCTTTGTCCCCGTTCTCATATTGTCATGAGCTTTGGGTAATAACCTCAAGAACAAGATCATGGATCAAAGAAGCCAAAATTAAGTTCCTGATAAGAGCCAGGCTCAGCTTTAGGGATAGGGTTGGGAGCAAGGAGAAACTCAGAGTGGAGCCACCATTCCTCCATTTCTAGAGGAGCCAGCTGAGAAGGTTCAGGCAGTTGGTAAAGATGGCTTCTAGATGCCCTGCAGGGGAGGGGCTTCCAGCGTGTTCTGCTGGTCCCTGGTTTGACCCAGGACACACTGAAGGGATTACATCTATGTTGGCCATGCAACAGTGGGGTCCCACTGGTGGAGCTGGTAGAGGTTGGTGGAGAGAGGACATTGTTGGACCTCTCTGCTGGGGCTGGTCCCTGTGCGACCGGATTAGTGGACGAGGTCAAACAGATGGGCGGAGCTCAAAGTTTTGTTCCAAAATAGAATAGAATAGAATTCAACTTTATTGTCATTGCACATGTACAAGTACAGGGCAACGAAATGCAGTTTGCATCCATCCAGAAGTGCTTTAGCCGTGATATCGATGTATTACAATATATATTAGCAATAATATAGATGTGTAAGTATATTACAGAAATGGATCTATTTCGTATGTTATAATGTACACGGTATGAAGTATGTTATGAATATTCTATGACTATAAGTATGTACAGGCTGTAGTTAATACAAGCAGTCCATGAGTTTAACGTGGGTCATATGTCAGGAGGCAGAGTTCAGGAGTCTGACAGCTGTTGGGAACAGTCAAGGGCAATCGTAGAAATAGTATTGGTGTAAATATTTTTATCAACACTGTACAATAAAGGTCCCTTTATTATTGTTACTTAGTGCATTATTAGCATTTATAAACAAAGAATACCTTTATTGCCGTTATTGTTAACTATTATGGCTCCTTAAGGGTAGGACAAAAGGCCGGGGGGGGGGGGGGGGGGGGGCTCTGCTTAGTTATGCATTATATAATATGGTTAAGCAGTTGTTCTTACTTTATTTAATAGTTTATTAACGCTTAATAATGCACTAAGTAACATTAACAACGGAACTCTTCTTGTAAAGCGTTACTGATTCATCTGCCAACAATGACTTACCCTCATACACCCAGTCCGGGATCCCGTTTAAGACCGCGTTTGTTTCTCCGTTGGTGGTCACTTGCTGTGGTTGGGACTCAGGGCTGCTTTTTATATATACGTTATTCTCCCAAACATACGCCTGCGTACACAAAAGCTTCAGTTATTAAGGGGCGAAAGGCAAATAACAGGACACGGGGTGTTGCCCAGATCAGACTGGCAAAATGTTTGCTGAGCCACTTCTACGTTGGCTGCAGCCTCACCAGTTTGTTCCCTTCAGGGGCCCAGGAGAAGTACTGAACTTCATCAGGAATGCCAGCAGCGACGAACTTGCTGAAAGAGATTTGTGCATCTGATGTGATTTTTTTTAAGCTCTTCAATATTTACTGAACATGTGTTAAAGCTGGCGCCACATTAATGGGCTCGACACACGGGAGGTGACATCGCCTCTCCTCCATTCATTTTAAATGAGACGTGCGCGACAAAGCGATAATCGCGGGTCTCCCTCCTACTAGGCGAAACGCGAAAAACGTGCGTGTGAAATTTTGCGCTCGTGCACGTGTCGTGCACAGGCGACCCAGCGACACGATCCCAGAAAGTTGAAACATTTTCAACTTTTCATCGCTGTCGCTCGAACGAGGACCAATCAACGGAGGTTTCATTCACTGACCAATGAGCGGACAGGATGCTCCGTATGTCTCCGAGCAAACATGGAGGAGAAGTTGATTATTATTATGTTTTATAGTAAAATCAGAAGTAAGATTTCACATAACTCTAGCAGCACCGTGTGAAACATCATATCTACCACTTTTTAAACTCTGAACTGCTTAAATAACCTTAATTCCCTCCAACCTGACACAGCCAAACAAAACAACGGAAGTTTCGATTTCGCCATGGAACAGAACGCGTAGACGGCTTTGCCGCTGGCCGCTGCCGTGGGTCGCCTCCCGTGTGTCAGGTAATAAAAGCGACGGCGACAAATTTTGCTGATCGCGGTCGTTTGTCGCCTCCCGTGTGTCGAGCCCGTTAGCTTCTCCTCAAGAAGGGAAAACCGGGTGTCGTTCTTCTTACCGTAGTTTCAGGTCATACAGTGAAAACGAGGCTGTAAATGAATGTCGCCACAGCTGTAACACAAAAACAAAGCAGATCAAGAGCTGATTGGGCACTTTTAAAGTTGGTAAAAGTTTAACATACCTTGCTATAGTTACTCATGAATGAAACATAATTGAGATCAGCAGAAACCTGGTAATCGTACGCATCTACTTTAGCCTGTCAACAAAAACATTGCAGGGTGAGGAGCATGTTTGCTATCGTCTGACTTATGTCGTGAGTGGAATAGTAACAGGATGTAGAGGATGACTTACAAACAACTCGTTGCTCAAGAATTCAGAGTCCTCATTTGTTTTCACGTTGTAGATTCGAACAGAATCATCAGACTTGTGCAGATACTCATAATCTGCGGTAAAAGACAACAACATGCTAAAAAGCAGAACGTTTCCAGTTAAGTGCAAGTAAAGGTCCCACGACAGATTCACACGAGCAAAAATAACAATCTGACTGACTCGCGGCCATTCCAGTAAGGATGCATCATTATTTCCTTGCTACTTGCCAGGGTGAAATGATTATTTCACCAAATGCTCGTGCTTCTCTGCACAGGTCCTTCCAGAGCCGCTAGCACTGACATATCCTCTGTGTAATTACTGCAGAGATATTCTAGCAGCTGCATAACAAGAAAACAGAAACTGTGAAGTAACAAGGTGTCACACGGGCTCAAATAACAAACCTGCATTATCATCGTCTCTAGGCTAATGCTAACGCTGTTTGCAAAATATTTCAAGTGCTCATTAAGTCTCCACCAGTAGTGCCTGAAGGAAACCACGTTTTGTGAACACATTAATCCGTGTGAAGCTTTTCCTGCTCTGACACAATGTGAAACACACGTTGTCTACAGCTGGCTTTCCACGAGACGACTTCCTGGACGTTTCTGGGAGGAGGGAAGGTGACAGCTCCAGTCCTCTCAGACACAATTGACCCTTTAAGAAATTTGCTAAGATGTTAGCATATAGCAACCATTTCAGCTGTGAGTTACTTTTATGATCCGTGCTCAAAGAGCAAGTCACCCCCTTCCAGAGTCTAACTCCACTCCCTCTTCCTGTTTGAAAAATGCACCACAAGGAGGAGTTGCCTGGCAGACTGAGAGGGCAAAGCCAATAAGAAACACAAACACAGGCTCACAGCAGCATTATGACATCATATGGTACCAGCTAACATCATCACCTTTTAGTCAATAGCAATGGCAGATATAAATTCAAATGTAGTGTGTAGTTTTTACCTGACAGTTTTAGGCAAAATATTACAATTTTAACAAAGATGCACAACAGTGCCAAATTACTGACTGCATGTGTCTACAGCCTGATTAGCCACTTATTTATATCATTTATCAGCTAAAAAAAACGTTGATTTGGGGGTGTCTAGCTCTTTAAAGGTGCCCACAGCAGCAGAGAATAACAAGAAATCAACAATAGAAAAAGCAGGGATGGTTTCCATGTTTCTATTTGTTGTTATACACAGTGATGTCAGAGATAACGGAAAGACGTCTCAAGTTTTCTTTTCCTTCCATGCTGCTTTGCCAGCAACTCCTCCAGTTTTACAAATGCTGATCAAACCCTGACACAGTGCTCTGATCATGCTAACAGGCTTTCCACGGCTACGCTAATACTGGTGTGGACACATTCAATGCTAATGTTGCTCAAACACTAACAGGATGTGCAAAGCCTGCCAACACGTGGTGTATGACAAAGCCAATAAACGGGCATAGCTGATACAATCATTGAAGCTAATGCTAACCAGTGTTGCTAAATCACGGTACCCCCCCCCAATGGAAATTCTGAAATGCAAAATGTGAGTTGGACCCTCTGGACTTGCACGAGGAGGCTGGTCTGGTAAATGAGCAATGAGAAGAGGAACAGTAATAAAGTTGTCCAGTACAACCACACCCAGCTGTATCTATGATCCACATTTGATCTCACTTTGCAATATTTCCCCACCTGAAATCCACCTCAAGTTGTAGGATTTTGGCTTCAGAGCACCGTTGAAGACATCATCCAGGGTGAAGGTTCTCACATCCACGGTCTCCTTCTCTACAAAAATTACTTGGAAAGTTAGACGAGGACTTACGGGTCACAGATATGATGTCACAACCAATAAAAACCATAGTCATGGAGTGAGTCTGTGTTGCAAGGGCTAGGCATTAGTGAATTTGAAGAAAAGAGATGAAAACTTTCATAAATTTTACCACGAGTATGTTTTTTTATTTATTTATTTTTTGTTGTAGCAGCACTCTCTCCTCATGTGTACGGGACACTGATCAGCACCTAAGTAATCTCTATTTTTACTACATTTATTTAGATAAAGACAATTGTATGTCTAGATGTAGTTGAAAATGAATATTTGTATTCAAATATAAATTTATCATTTTTACACCTACATGTTGAAGTCTAAGTTACGGGTGGGACTCGAGAACATTTTTACAGTTTTTCTCGATTGTTTACACACATTTTCTGGTACTTGAGACACAATTACCACAACCAATTCACCAACCCCCTTAACCAATTCGGCTAAACTACAAGCACAATTCCTGCTTTGCACTCAAATTGCAAAGCTAAAACACACTTTTCTCAAAACACTACACACAATTCTCTGCTGTTGGCACAATTTTCGAGCAGAAAATATCTTGTTTTCACAAGGAACACACTGATGTTCACACGTGCACACTGACTCGTCACAAGGGCAAACACCTGTCACACGGTTTTACAATTAGCAATCAGAGCTTTAGCATAAAAGGGCAACAGGTGAGCTCTCCTGTGTTGGAGCGATGGATGCCGACATTGGAAACAGGGGCAGAGCCAGAGGAGTGAGAGTAAGAGGACGGGGAGGACCAAGGACCGTAATCTCTGATGAGATCCGAGCCACTTTGGTTGTTTCTAAAAAAATTAGATTTAACTTCACACGATTGAATTTGATTATAAATGCAAAAAAGAAAAAAGTATCACATTTGCAAAAAAAAAAAAAAATCTTTTGCATGTATTTTAACTTAAATATTTAGTTTTGTGAATTTGAAGGTCAAGTTTGACTTGAAATATTTGTATTTAACATTATTTTTAGCTGTTTATCTTTAATATGCTTCTTTGGAGTTGGTGCCCCGTAAAGCAAACTTAATCATGAAAAACTTAGGTTTCACTTTTGTATTTAGATTTGATTACAACCATTTTTGTTATGATTAGTGATGTGACGTTCATGAACTAATAAAATCCTTTCAAGGAGAGCGAGTAACCACCAACCAACCATAAGTCCCACCACTAGTTAACATTACTATTTTAAGCTAAATGTGGTGAAATTTAACTATTAGTTTTTAAAAAATACTTCACTACAAATGAGCCATATTTATAATAGAATAATGAAAAATTTAGTTGTTATATTATTTACATATTTATACTTCTAAATATGAAGATCCGATTCTAAATATTTTCAGATTATTATTTTTTAAGTGGGTCTAATGAAGCGGTTTGCTTTTAGACAGTCCGCTTTACATTCAGTGCCCCATACTTGTGAACTAATCATGTTTATGTTTATGTGCTTAGCAGACGCTTTTACCCAAAGCGACTTACAATTTTTATTTTATTTTATTTTTTTAACCTATAGGGCATGTTGTGATCTGTGGGGGAAACCGGAGTACCCGGAGGAAACCCACGCATGCATGGGGAGAACACGCAACTCCACGCAGAAAGGCCGCAGCCGAGTTTCGAACCTGCGACTTTCGTGTTGCGAGGCAACAGTGCTAACCACTGCGCCACCATGCAGCCCATAGCTCAATCATGAACTATTGAGGTTTACCTTTATCTTTAAGATTAGATTCTAAATGTGACATCATTATAATTTTACTCTACAAATGCAGCAGGGCATTTGTTTTGTGTTTTGTGTAGCTCATATCAGTGGTATTCCCTCCTGGTCCTGGCGAGCCAGTTAGTTTTGACTCTGGTTCAACACACGATTTCAGTCAGCAGGCTTAGTGATTCAACCACTGAAGTTAGCTTCAGATTCCAGCTTCCGATTCGGGAAACGGCTAAAGGGCCATTACCATGGACGTAATTTTCACTTTAGATGTGGGGGGGGGGGGGCGGGGGGGGGGGGGGTCTTTACAGTATGTTCTAATGGGAAACAGGCTTCAACACAAACGTTTCTACTTGGTCCTAGAGCTCAACCAGTGTCAATTTAATATAAAGTAATATTGCTTTTGGATGGTAAAAAGTGCAGGGGACAAAACTTGACTTTGGAAAAAGTGGGGGGACATGTCCCCCCTGTCCCCCCCCCCCAAAATTACGTCCATGGCCATTACACCTAATTTTTCTCTACTCTGACCATCTTTAAACTGCTCTAGCTCAAAAACTACAACAGCCACACCGTTCGAACATGTTCTAGATTATTCTACTATAAAAAGCAGATCAAATAAAACACAGTGTGGGATTTGTGAAACTTCAACAAAGCCAAATTTATGCATTTTTCCAGCATCTGGCCAACGATGGAACAGCTGTAGCTCAAAAACTACAACAGCCACGCTGTTCAAACCTGTTCTAGATTATTCTACTATAATAGCAGTTCAGATTAAACTCAGTGTGGGATTTGTGAAACCTTTCCCTGATTTGTGAAACTTCAACACAGATTGTATTTTTTTCGGTGACATGTAGCACAGTTACACAACAGCCGCAACTATTACTTTGATGTTTGCGTTTCTTAATTCAAAACAAGCATAAATATTCAGCCTCAAACTTTTTATTGTCCACATTCCAGAGAACTTCAGATAATTGAACATCTCTCCATTTCTGTTTTCAGTTTCATGAGAAGTTTCGCTTTTTCGCTGCAAAAAAAAATAATAAAAAAATTTCAGGTATTATATATTTCTCCATTCCCAAAGACATACAAAAAATCTTTTTCTTGCAGATATCTCTCAGTGACTCAGATTGTCTTACCTCTCATCCATCTCACCATGCTCATTCTTTTCCACTGCCTCAGCCCTGGTTTCAGAAAGGCAACACTCCGCACTTTTCAGAGGTGTACGGTACATTACGGTAATACGACGGAGTTCCTGTCTGAGAGCCGGCCCGGGAGAAAAAGACTACGCCGTTAGAACAATGGAGGAGCGGAGGAATTGTTTTGGAGGTGTATGTTCATGATAGTCGGACTATCCGCGCTCGTTGACATGTGCTACTATGGGGCACGCGCAGACCGATTTTTTAAGGCTTTGTTGAAGTTTCACAAATCAGGGAAAGGTTTCACAAATCCCACACTGTGTTTTATTTGATCTGCTATTATAGTAGAATAATCTAGAACAGGTGTGAACAGTGTAGGAGCTGTACTTCTTGAGCTACAGCTGTTCCATCGTTGGCCAGATGCTGAAAAAACGCATAAATCAGGCTTTGTTGAAGTTTCACAAATCAGCGAAAGGTTTCACAAATCCCAAACAAGGTTGTGTGCCATCTGCTATTATTGTAGAATAATCTAGAACAGGTTTGAACAGCGTGGCTGTTGTAGTTTTTGAGCTAGAGCAGATTAAAGATGGTCAGAGTAGAGAAAAATTGGGTGTAATGGCCCTTTAGCCGTTTCCCCGAATCGGAAGCGAACTTCAGCCTCGTCCACTGAATTTGGTGTGTTGAGTAGAGAAACAATGAAAACATGTTGGATTCTGGCTCTCCAGGACCAGGAGTGAGTACCACTGGCCTATTTAAGAGCTGTGAAGCGACACAGTTTTTTACTTTACATTTGGGGCCCCATATTGCTCAGAAGACAGTGGAGATGATTGTGGACTTCAGGAAAGTCACAGCCCCATCTCTCCCCCTCGTCCTGACGGACACCCCCGTCACCACTGTGGACTCCTTCCGCTTCCTCGGAACCACCATCACACACGACCTTAGGTGGGAGCCGTCCATCAGCTCCCTGCTCAAAAAGGCCCAGCAGAGGATGTACTTTCTGCGGCAGTTGAAAAAGGCCAAGCTGCCGGCCCAGATGATGGTGCAGTTTTACACGGCCATCATTGAGTCCATCCTCACCTCCTCCATCACTGTGTGGTACGCTGGAGCCACAGTGAGGGACAAACATAGACTGCAGCGCATTGTGCGCTCTGCTGAGAAGGTGATTGGCTGCAGCCTTCCATCTCTCCAGGACCTGTACGTCTCCAGAACTCGGGGGCGTGCAGGTCGGATAGCAGCTGACCCTTCTCACCCGGGTCACAGACTTTTTGAGCTGCTTCCCTCAGGCTGGAGGTTACGGTCCATCCGGACCAGAACCTCCCGCCATAAGAACAGCTTCTTTCCATCTGCCGCTAGACTTGTGAACAGCTTATAAATACACAACCATGTTCGTCTTCTGTACTCGACAAGTCACGTTATCGGCCATATTACCATTACCTGCCGTTTTTATAGCTGAATGTTTTATTCTAGTTTTTTATTATTATAATTTATTCTATTTTTAAACTTATTATGCATGTTATATGTAGCACATTAGTACCGAAGCAAGTTCCTAGTTCGTGAATTGTTTGTTCACTGACAATGGCAATAAACCTTTTCTGATTCTGATTCTGATATTAGTAACTTTATCAGCTAATATTTAGTTTTAACTTCACATTTTAAGGTTTGATCCTGAAACCATTCTTATTTCAATCAAAATGCGGTAAACCTTAAATTTGATTTTAATGATTACTTTTACATTTGGCCCCTCATACCTGTGCCCTGACGCTGGACAGCTGATTTTGGCATATCTGTGTAAAGTTGAGGCATGCACGGGGTCGTGCGTCATGACGCGCGCCTCCCCGTCCAGCAGCGCGTGCCACCACAGCGTTTTCCCAATAAAAACTCACCTTTCACAAACACAACGGTGGGCACCACTATCAGGATGACCACCACCGACACCCCCAGGATCCCGACCAGGATCTTAGCGACTGAGACCTGTCCGGGAGGGAACCAGCGGTTAGTTACACGCGCCTCCTCGGATAAATGTGAGTATTTACAACAAACCCACCATAGTTTCTGCTCCGAACCAGGACGTATATCAGTGTCAGTCCAGATTCAACACTTGATCGATCCAGGCGCGCGAAGAAAAGACACGAAGCACGTGCTCATCTGTTAATTATTCTCCCGGCTGGAGTTTCAAAGGTGCTGCGGGAGTAAAGTTCTCCATCTGATGCTGAGCCAGACTCAGAGGAAGTGTGGGATCCTCTCAGATCTGACCTCATTTCAGCTCCCACTCAGCGTCCGTAGGACTGCGAGCACCTAAACCAGCTGCACCAACTCGTTAGTGATCTAAACCAGTAGTTAAACCAGCTGGATGAACTCTCGTGGTGGTCCAACAGGTCCAGTCTTTTTTTTTTACACTCTTTTATTGGGGATGGGGCTTAACAGAAATATATGTGTAAAACAGAGAAACAGGAGGGTTGTTAATATTACCGTTTACTCCATAGTCCCAATTTACTCTCCATCAGGGCTTAATTTGAGCCGGATCTTGCCGGAACAAGATCCGGGAACTATTTTACTTTGAAAGGACCGTTCCGGCAACTCACGCAACGAACTGGAAGCCCTCAGCACACCCAGGGGGAGCCCGAAACGACCCTGGTTCTACTATTATCTATGTGGACTCTCCAGGGATTATTTAGAGCTGAGAGGCGCAGAGCTCTGGTCGTTGACGCGCTCCAGACAGATGCGTCGTGAGCACGGCCACAGCAACATTCTCAAAGTGTCACGTCCTCATAAACCAATTTAACACGCGATCGTTCATGTCGGCTCATTTCCTTTCATGCTCTCCGTCTTTTATTTGTGTCTGATGCGTTTTACTGCTGCGCATGGACGTAATTTTCACTTTAGAAGTGTGGGTGGGGGTGGGGGGGCACTGGGGTGGGGGTGGGGGGTAATCTTTACAGCATGCTCTAATGGGGAACAGGTTTCAACACAAACGGTTGTTTTCCGCTTGGTCCTAGAGCTCAACCAGTGTCAATTTAATATAGCGTAATATTGTTTTAGGATGGTAAAAAGTGCAGGGGTCAAAACTTGTCTTTGGAAGAAAAAAAAAGGGGGGGGGGGGGGGGGCAGAGCGCATCACCTGTGTCCTCCGGTGAATTCAGGCACCGGTGCGGTCAGCGCGGACTCGGCTATTTTTGTGGTCGGTAGATCTTTTTGAACTGCAGCTCAAAGGTAATTCACAAAGGTGAAAAAATATGAAGCCAGGCAGCAGTTTTTCTTTAGGATTGAGAGGAGATGCAGGAAGATAATAAACAGAGACAGGACAGAAAAAACAGTCAAATAAAAACAAGTTAGTTTTTGTACCTACACAGCAAATTCAGCATGCTCAAAATAACTCTGTCAGAGTTGATTTCAACACTTTTTGGAGAGTTGGTGCTTTAACTCTGATTTAGCGTTACAAACCAACTCATCTAGAGTTAAATATTTAACTTTAATGGTTTAAATCTGGGACTCTCCACCATTTGACCTTAGAACTGAAGAAGCCTCTCGGATGAGAGGTGAAACATCTTCAAGCAACTCAAAGAAGTCCAGACGCTTTTCTTTCAAAGCTCCTTAGACTACAATCACCTGGATGACTGAGAACCTTCACAGATATATCAGAGTAGATTTCAACACTTTTAAAGTGTCTATATGTTGATTTAACACTTTTTGGAGAGTTGGTGAAAAACCAACTCCTCTAGAGTTAAATATTTAACACTAGTGTAAGTGTTAAGATAGTAACCCTAACACTGGAGTTAAATATTTAACCCTAGAGGAGTTGGTTTGTAACACTAAATCAGAGTTAAAGCACCAACTCTCCAAAAAGTGTTGAAATCAACTCTGATAGGTTATTTTGAGCATGCTGAATTTGCTGTGCTTTGTGATTTAATGACTTTTAATACTTTTCAGTGCACCAAGCCTGGAAGCTGCCCTGAATAACACTGGCTAACACATGCCTTGTACACTTAATGACTGCTATCAGTCAAAGGAGCAGAGTCCATGCACCACATTTTTATTGTGATAGTAGCGGTCCCATTCTTTTGACCGGCCTCCTCACTTATGGTACAAACATGACATAACAAGCAAAACCACATTTGCAACAGTGCAGGGGCGGCGTTAGGCCCGCTACTTGGGCTGAAGCCCCGGATGTTACATGGAAAGCCCCGGATCTAAATCGCGGAAGTAACATGCAGTACCAAAGTCCAACAGAGAGGGAGCAGCTGGCAGTAGTTTGTATACAGCCTGCCTGAGCCTCCACCACTGAAGAAGAAGCCCTTCAGCAGCCGGATTCTTCTTCAGTCTCTGCCTGAAACGCATGAGTGAAGATGGACATAAGGACGTTTTTTAGACCAAAAGTACCGCGACAGAACCCCAGCTTTGATGAGACTGGTGTTGACTCAGGTTTGTGAGTCTTATTTGAAAATATTTGTTGTGCTGCTGGTTTGCCTAAAGTTAGCTTATCAGGTAAAGTTGTTGGAGAAAGAAAGGGAATATTTACCATCATCTCACACTAAACACTTACAGGAACAATACTCTGCCCTGAATACGCTTAATATGTAGCTTCAGATTAAAAATTATGTGGTACAAGACAAATATATGTTGTTGGCTAGTGCGTGTCACGTGTGTGTGTGTGTGCACGCGCATGTGTTAAGCCCCGGATGTTCTTCAGTCCTAAATCCACCCCTGCAACAGTGAACAAAGTACTAACTAAGAGCAACACAACTCCGCAAAATAAACATGCATAAACACCTCAAAATAGAACAAACGTAACTAAAAACACGACTACCCACAATGCACCTCACCCACTGCAGCTCCTGCAACTCCCTGCAGCCAATCGGCCGCTACCAGTCCAACTTTTAGAATAAAAGGGTGGAGTCTACAAATGAACTCTGCGGGTGTTACAGCTGCTGTGGGAGTTCAGAGTCAGATTTTCAGGAGTTATTTTGTCCAAAATGACTCCTGCAGAGTTGATTAGGAAACACTCCTTTTTAACACTGGCTTTTAACTCTCATGTCAGTGTTAAATATCAACTATATAACTGGTTTTAGTGTGAAGTTAACTATTCTTGGTGTCATGGACGTAATTTTCACTTTAGAAGTGGGGGGGACACAGGGGGTGGAGGTGGGTTGGTGGGGAATCTTTACAGTATGCTCTAATGGGAAACAGGCTTCAACACAAACGGTTGTTTTCCGCTTGGTCCCAGAGCTCAACCAGTGTCGATTTAAGATAGCGTAATATTGTTTTGGGATGGCAAAAAGTGCAGGGGTCAAAACTTGTCTTTGGAAAAAGTGGGTGGGGGGGCATGTCCCCCTGCCCCCCCCCCCCAAAATTACGTCCATGCTTGGTGTTAAATTGGACCAACACCAGAAAATTAACACTTTTGAATTTGCTGTGATGGTGGTTGCAACAAACAGACACCATTGAAGGTAATCAGAAGTGAGGAACAGAAAATGAAATAATTATTTCAACGTTTAGAGCAGCAGGAACTCTGAGAGGCTGCAGGCGCATCGGTGGGTTTGCGGGGGACTGGGACAGTAATTCAGGCCGGGAGTTTTGAAACCATCCCAGGCCACCGCCCAATTCACGCTAAACACTGAAAGTGGGTCAGACTGGGCGCCTACCGACGTAAAAGTGTAAAACAACTCAATTAAAACTTCACATGTGCCCTGATTCTTTCCTCAAAAATGTAAATATTTGTGCTGCTATAATCTGTGCTCATGCTGCGTAAACTGAAATTCTATTTTATTCTGTTAAACGTGCCTCCCGCACATTGGATGAAATGGGCCAGGCACCATCATCCGCCTGAATATAAGGCCCTGTCCACACGTAGCCGGGGATCTGCCAAAACGTAGATATTTTTCTACGTTTTGGCCTGTCATCCACACGAAAACGGAGTTTTTTCACATGAAAACGGATCTTTTTAAAAACTCCGGCCAAAGTGAAGATCTGCGTTTTCTCCGTTTTGGGTGTCTGCGTGTGGACGGACAAAACCGGAGTTTTAAGGTCCGCAACGTCACTTTCCACGACAAAAAATGCTGACATCACGTGTGCGACCTGTGTTTACACTAGCCAACAGCATGGATGCCCTCAGAGCTGAGCTCGCTTTATCAATTGTCCAAGTGCTTTTTGCTTGTTTGTTTTTGCAAGCGGAATTACTGCTCCTTGCGGAAGACCACAGACGAAGGACGAGGTTAAGAACGGGGGAAGTACTGCCGCCTACAGGTCTGGCATGTCCTTAACAACGTATTTATCCGGGTACGTGTGGACAGAGTTTCTTTTTTTTAAACAAGGTGGTGTGGATGCAAGTTTTTGGAGGGGCGGATATTCGTTTTTTAAAAGACCCGGCTACGTGTGGACTAGGCCTGAAACTAACAGGTACCAGACTACATGTCTGGGTCAAGAGAATCACACCACAAGCAAAAAAAAGTGTGTGTGTGTGTGTGTGTGTGTGTGTGTATGTGTGTGTGTGTGTGTGTGTGTGTGTGTGTGTGTGTGTGTGTGTGTGTGTGTGTGTGTGTGTGTGTGTGTGTGTGTGTGTGTGTGTGTGTGTGTGTGTGTTAGGGCTGGGGGTAAACGATTATTTTTAAAACGATTATTCTGACGATTATTTTATCGAATAGTCGACTATTCTAATGACTATTTAGAAAATTAATCTAATGATTATTTTTCTATTGCACAATTAACAAAAACCAGAAAATCTCAAATAAATTCCTCAAAAAAATTGATAAATTCTTACTGTAAGAGAATAAACACTACAGGCCTTCCATTTTGTATAACACTGCTTTTATTGTGTTGCGGTTGGTTATGTTCTGGTGACGTGTAGAACTTGGGAGTGCAGGCTGCTGCCTGAGAGGTGGTAGAAGATGGAGTGTCTCCATGCTGCTTTGTTTTGGTCACTTATGTGCGTGAGGCGAGTGGTGTTACGGGTTAAACCAAACTCAAGGTGATATTTTACACTAAACCGAAAACCCACAACACTCTAAATGTAATAAAAGGGAGATCTGCACCACAAAAAAGATGAACTCTAAACCAAAACTTAACAGCTTATCCCAACGCAAGAAGCTGTTAGCGAAGATGCTAACAGTAGCTTTACCAACGTTAAGTTCAAGTTACCAAGTTTAAATAAACCAAAAACACCCAGCAGCAAACAGACCAGCACGGAGGAGAGACTGCTACCACCAAAACAGCTCTCCTCATGTCTGAAAGAAGCTCCTTAATGAAGGGAGAAACGCTCCCGGTGATTTTCTACATCTGCGATAGAGACGAAGCAGCGCATCTGACCCCGGAAGTTGTTGTCCGTTGCCGGGAGACGAAGGCGGGCAAAACAGGAAAATAATCTAGTAGTGGACGGACGTTGTTCCGGG